GTGGGGCTCGAACTCACACCCACGAGAGTCACCAGCCCGGCGCCCCCCAACACCGTTATTATTAAGGGATTCTCTCCTGAGTTCTGCCCACTGAGACTAGCCCTGAACTGGCTGTTCCATAACTTCTCCCGCTCTCCAAGCTTCTCTGAAAGCTGTCATGGTGACAGAGCTGGCCCAGGGCTTGGGGAGTGGGATGGGGCAGGAAAGTTAGATGGAATCAGGGGGAGGGCAAGTTTCCTCCCAAACCAGGAAGTCCCCATCCTTGACAGTGTGGAAGGAGGGGTCCCTGACCTTCTCCTCAGACTGCAGAGCCTCTTCATAACCCCTAAAACTGCCAAGATCCAGACTCTTTTCTTCCCGCCACCAAAACTGAGCTTTCCAGCAAGTGGCTTCAAGGAGCGGGAACTGGGGCAGCGGTCTCTGAGTAGCCTCAGCCCCCACCCCGCCCCATCCTCATCACCAGAACCCTAGCCCCCACCTTCTGCCTACCGGTTGAGAGGATCCCTGGTGAAGGTGGCTACGTCTGGGTGAAACCCAGAGAAGTGGCTCCCTGGAGTGGGTGGGGAATCCGGGCTGGAGAGAGCCTCTGAGGGCCTCCTAGTAGGCTCCAGCATTCCCCAGCCCTCCAGAGTCCTCTGGAAGGGATCTGCTCCCTGCAGGAGAGAGCCAGCAGACATGTCTGAGCTGGCCTGCTCCTCCGCAGACAGAACGAGTTGGGGGAGGGGGGCCTGAGATCTTGGTGAGGAGTGGTGGCGGTAACCCCCCTGTCTCCTCTGGGGAGCCAGGGCCAGAGGGGACTACAGCTTGGGCACACCCTACCACAGCCCGGGGCCCAGCCCTTTGCCTCCTGTGGCCGGCCGCTGCCAACTGCGGAGCCAAGAGTCTGGGCCCCCAAGTGTGGAGACGGTGCCTGCCCACCCCTTCCCCAAGAGCCAACATCAGTTCTCTCTACGCCCCTCCCCTGGGCTGGGCAGGTCCAGGCTAATCTGCACAAGAGCTTCACGGCAAACATTGATCTGTAATAAAACCACAATGTGTGTTCAGGAGAAGGGATTCCAGACACAGAGAGATGCAGACAACACACATACACACGCTCACACATATATACAGATGCAAAATGTACAGCTCTGGGAGGGCAAACACCAGCAGTCCTGAAAACACCCCTGACCACAGGCCCACGCTGAGTCACACACACAGGCTTTATGAGGTCTGCACATCCCCTCCCTGCCTCAAACTTTGTCCTTCAAGCTCACGCCTCCTCCATGGCACTTTGTATGTAGCTCCGTAGTAGCATTTGCACTTGGCATTATAGTTGTTTGTTGGCCAGTTTGTCTTCCTGAGTAATCTGAAGATTCCTTAAGGGAAAGCAATCTTGTCTGATGCAAGTGCACATCCCTAGCCTGCAGCACACAGCCTGGTGTTGAGTTAGCAGGAGTAGGTAAGGTGATTCACAACAAATTGTTGCATTGATACACTGAGGAAGAAGCGCACTCAGACAGGGGGGGACACCCACGTCTAGAGCGCCTCTGCGGCACGCAGGATAACCAGCGCCCGCTGCTCACACCTCTGGCCCTGCCTGCGGGTCTCCTGGCCCGGGGGCCCCACTACCTCTGAGCTTCTTCAAAGGGCCTCCCTCTTGCTTCGCTGGGAGACCATGAATCTGCGCTCCACCGGAGGGCTGGCAGGCAAACTAAGGGTTAATGACACCTCATTAGTATTTAATTGGAGGAAGGAAGCTGGCCTGGCACCAGACAGGTGGGCAGGCCTGCCCCTCGCTGGAAGCAGGCAGCCCTTGTTCCAGCACCCTGCCGGGCGTGTGGGTGATTTGGCCCTGGAGACCCTCGACCCGGCGGCCCCGGGGCACCTTCCCCCACCATTTGCTTTGCCAATTTAATCTCTAGGCAGTACAGACCAGCCCTCCCCATCTGTCAACAAACATCCAGAGGGAGAGGCAGACTTCTTTCTGCTTTAGCTAGGCTGCGCCCCCTCCCACTGGAGGAGACATTGGAGGCTAGAAGAGGGGTGGGGTAAGGAACCGGAAAAGGAGAGAGAAATCATGGAGCTGCTAAGGGATAAAGTCGGGATACAGACAAGTGACAGGGCTGGGGATGTGGAGATGTCTGCTCAATTTGACCTTAAATGAAGAGAATGCAAATGAGATGCAGATGATATGCAGAAGACCAGGAGGATCTCAGAAGCATTCCATGTGGGGCAGCCGCGCACCCAGGACCCCAGCGGTGTTGCCAGTACTCCTCCCCTAACCTTCCTGGGGTAAGTGGCACTGACCATTACTTGGGGGGAGAAAAAGGATCTCGAGAATGATACGAGCTTGGTCGGTTGGGCTAGGGCGGCGGGACCTGGGAAGCTGAGCTCCATCCAGTCTCCCCGCCCCCAACCCAAACAGCCACCCAAGCGGCCCCTGGAGCTCAAGCAACGACCACTCTCCCGGTTACGGTCGGACGCACCGTCGGTTGCTATGGGGACCCCCTCCCCACGTCCAGGCCTGAACCAATGGGCATCACCGCCGATGACCTCATGCCCCAGGGCCCGGGATTCAGTTGGCTATTTGGAAGCCAGAGTGGCCCTCTCCAACTGCGTCACGGCTGGGAATCCCCCGACGACCCCAGCTGCCGTGGCCGGCTGAAAGAAGGGCGCGCTGGGAGCTCCCGATTTGATGAATGAATGAATAAGCAAAGGAAGGAACGAACTACTGAAAGAGGAGAGAGAGGGGTCACATCATAAAAAGACCAGAGCTTCAGGGTTTAGCTTCTAGAGAAAGAGGGTGGTTTGCAACCCCGCAAATTGTGGGGCAGGACCCAGGTCGCAGAGTCTTTCAGGCTCTTGGGACGACGAGACAGAGTGAGGCAAAGATGACCAGTTTTCGCATCTGCTGGGGAGAGACTAGGGCGGGCCTAGCGAATTGAGGGCCCCACCTTGGGCCGTCTAGCGCCGCCGAGTTTAGGGGAGATCGGTGACGCCCAAAAACTCACAGGCCTGCCCAGCCTCCTGGAACCGCGCCCCGGAACGCGCCTCGAGGCCTTCCCATGGGTCGGGCCCAGTCGCGGAAGGCCGCCCCGCACCTTCAGCCCGCCTCGGCCCCGGGAGCGGACCTGGCCCTCTGGGGGGCGCGCCCCGGGGCTGGCCCGGCTGAACGCGCAGG